TGGGCCCGGTTTCCACCCCCACCACGGCCCTGCCACAGCCCCGCCACCCCGGGGCTGTCCCCTACCCTCTGCCTTGGCTGTTTTCTCCTCTCTCCAGCTGTCCCTTCCCTGTCCCTTAGTTCTCTGCTCCGGGGCTCTGTTGCAGCGCTGTCTTCTGGAGGCCCTGCCAGGCCTGGCGCCCTCTCCTGGGCACTCCTGGGTCTCCCACTGGTGTGGCGCCAGCAGATGGCAGCTTCACATCGTGGCCCCTGTGACCATGTCCTGTCCCTGTCCCTGCGCCGGAGCCCCGTGAGAGCCATGACTGAGGGCCCTGCTCACGGTACCCGGGGCACGGTGCCCGGGCATAGCAGGTGCTCATCCGTTCTTACTGCACAAACCAAGTAGGCATTGGGGTACTAGGACTGAACCAATCAGGCTTGACCGGCAGGCAACCCGTTAGGCTCTGTCAAGCTGTGGGCGACTGGGTCCCGATCTCCACGGGCAGCTAGGGCGATCCGGACGCCACGCGGAGTTCGGTGTGTCTGTCAGCTCGGCCCCATCGTCTGTGGTGGCTGTCTTGCTAGAGCCCAGACACCCCAGCCTTTGGAAGCCGACTTGAAGTGCAGCACGGTGCTGTGCGTGGGGGCGGCAGCCCCTGGGAGCTGCCCGTGGGCAGAGCTGGTGCGCGGCGAGCAGCCTGGGCCGGAGCTCTGAGCTCGGACTGCCCTCCTCAGGTCCGGGGCCGGGCAGGCGGCCCGGGGGTCTCGTCCTCACGGTCAGAGGCTGGTCCCAGCCCCGCGAGAGCTTCAGGCTCTTAGGATTCACAGCATGCGGCCACCTCTCGGCTCTGAACAGAGCGAGGTGTGAAGTCATTTCCGAAGCAGCGTCTATGAAATTCCATTACACGGTGCTTTTCAATTGAAGGGGAAAGACCTTTGCTGAAACTAATTTGCAGTCGCTTTAATCACGGCGCGGAGTTGGCAGGCTCCCCCGGGCGGTGGCTGGAAAGGCTCACTCCGCTTTGGCTTTGGCAGACCGGCCCTCCCCCACTGCCACCTCACCCGGAATCCCGTGTGGCAGTGGTTCGGCCCCTAAGCTTTGAGACAAAAAGGAAGGATTGTGATCAGTCCTCCCGGAGTGTCAGTGTCTCGGAGTCAGAGCCCTGTGGAAGACGGCGTCGTCAAAGCCAGGACGCTCCCGAGGAGGGTGGCGGGCTTGGGCCTCCCCTGCCTGCTGTCTGGCTTCTCGGGCTCTCCGGTGTCCCCGTGTTCCTGTTCACTGTCACCACCCAGACTTTTCTTGACCTAGGGAAGGGCAGCCAGAAGTCGCGAGTAGCAAAGAGCCCTTGGGTGGGACGCAGGATCTGGGTCTGGTCTCCCGTTCACAAAGTGTAGTCCCTCGGAAGTTGGTTACGCCTTTCTGGGCAGCTCACTGATTAAATGGAGGTGCTGACCCTTCCTGAAGATCAGGTGGGTTCTGGGGGAGGTGGGGGTGACGTGTGTGAAGACCTGGAAGGTCAGCTCCCAGGAACGGGGCGGTGCCCAGGTTATGACTGGCCGCCGCAGTTCTCATTCCGAGGTCTCCTTGCTGATCGGAAACTCCCAGGTAAGTCTCGTGGCTACTTGAAGTCCCTTTGGGTGAAGCTCTATGGGCCTCGGGATCTCCTGTGAAGACAGAGACCCAGTAAAGAGCGACACTGACGAAGCATCTTCAGTGGGACTTAGCGGGGAGCGTGGGTTTCCTTGGAGGGAGGAATGCAGGAGGCTGGCGGTGTGGGCAGGTAGGGCTGTGGGTGGGAGTATGGGGGCGGGGGGTGAGAGGAGAATGCAGGAGGCTGGCGGTGTGGGCAGGGAGGGCTGTGGGTGGGAGTACAGGGGGGAGGCGAGAGGAGAAGGCAGGAGGCTGGCGGTGTGGGCAGGGAGGGCTGTGGGTGGGAGTACAGGGGGGAGGCGAGAGGAGAAGGCAGGAGGCTGGCGGTGTGGGCAGGGAGGGCTGTGGGTGGGAGTACAGGGGGGAGGCGAGAGGAGAAGGCAGGAGGCTGGCGGTGTGGGCAGGGAGGGCTGTGGGTGGGAGTACAGGGGGGAGGCGAGAGGAGAAGGCAGGAGGCTGGCGGTGTGGGCAGGGAGGGCTGTGGGTGGGAGTACAGGGGGGAGGCGAGAGGAGAAGGCAGGAGGCTGGCGGTGTGGGCAGGGAGGGCTGTGGGTGGGAGTACAGGGGGGAGGCGAGAGGAGAAGGCAGGAGGCTGGCGGTGTGGGCAGGGAGGGCTGTGGGTGGGAGTACAGGGGGGAGGCGAGAGGAGAAGGCAGGAGGCTGGCGGTGTGGGCAGGCGGGGCTGTGGGTGGGAGTTCTGGGGGGTGAGAGCGGGCCGTGAGCCTCCAGTGTGGTGTCCTAGCACGGGTGAAGCACGGACGCGGGTAGGACAAGGCACAGTGCAAAGCCAACACGTCAAGTACTGGATTAGACATCTCTCTCTCTCTCTTCTTATCGCCAGAGGGCGTGCGTGCTCTCGAGGGGCGAAGAGAGAGAGCACCCCCGGTGAGCGTGACCCTTTCCTCCTTTTCTCCGTCCTGTCAGGATCTGGGCACACACACGCCTGACACTTTTTAAGCCACGGGGGCTGGGATTTGAACCAGGCTGGTGTACGGGACCGGGCTCCCAATGCACAGCATTGACGTGTTCTTGGTCTCCCCTGCCACGTGTAGAGAAGTGGGGTCAAGGAAGCATCCGGCAGATGTAATGCTGGCTTGTCGGGAAGTCCTGGCACATTTTTGCGTATTAAACCGAAGCACATCATGACTTTCCTGAGGCGCCCACAGGTTGGTGGGCAGGAGGCTGGGGACGCGCCTGGGAGGATGGGGTAAGCCCAGGCCCCGGAGAAGCCCGCCCCCATCTCTCAGATGGGAATGGACTGGGCTCTGAGCTTCCCGCGCCTGGGTCCGACCATGGCCCCTGCCCACAGGCTCTGCTCGCTGCATCCTTCCTCTGACCCTCGTTCCAGAGCGCTCTTCCTTTGCGCGGGCCCTTGACGCCGGTGTTAGCAGATGCGAGGGTCTGCAGGGGAACCAGATTTCGGGCGTGAGGCACGAGAAAGCCTGAAAACTCCGAATGCCCTTCCCACCCAGGGGACACGCCAGGCGATGAGGACTCAATCACTGACCTCTCGTTGTCGGAGAGCAGAGCAGAAAGCACACCCATGTCCCCGCTCTCTCTTCCTGACACGGGTGATGTTTCTGGGCCGCGTCTGCCTTCCTCCCCAAGGGAATGCAGCTGGGGCAGGGGCTCCCGGTCCTTTCAACGCCAGTTACCGAGAGACAGTGTTCATTTGGAGATGTTTTGCATTTCTTAAAATCAGTGGTATGCTGTCGTTTAAAGACAGAGGCTCAAGACTGGGAAAAAGTGGGAACCAGCAGTTAGCGTAATGGCTATGTCTGGACTCCCACATAGTCGACCATGGTTCGAGTCCTGGACCTGGTGGCTTAAAACTCACGCCGGGTGTGTGTGCGTGCGTGCCCAAGATCCCGAGAGGAGAATGGAGGAGAAGGGATTGCGGCGTGGCCATCCCCCCTGGGGGGTGATTTCTCGCTTTCTGTCTATGTCTCTCTCTGTCTGTCTGGCGAGTGCACGCACCCTATAGCGAAAACCTCTCAAAAAAAAAAAAAGAAAAAAAAAAGACTGGGAAGAAGTAGAAAGCAGCATTTTTCTGATAATTATTGCTTAATTAGTTTGGGTCAAATAATTCATGTCTGCTATAGAACAGGGCAAGTGGGGCTTTGGCACAGCACCGCCATGATGCGCCGAGGCTGGCCCACATGGAAAGGTTCAAGTCTAGAGACATCTCAGGGTCATCGGGCACGTGCTCGCCACACTCGCAGGCTGCCTGGCGCCCTGGCTGAAGGGAGTGATGGTGCGTTGGGGTCCCGCGGGGTGCCTCTCTTTCTCCCTCTCTGTGTGTCTCTTGCTCATGCCAGAGATTAAACAAACTTTAAAATCAACAACAAATGGACAGGGTGAGCATCGGGGACCCATGCATGCATGCGTTGGATACGGGGTTCACTGAGCACCTGCGGCCTGCGGGTGCCACCTTCTGGGTGTGCTCAGACGGGCGGGCACCAGGGAGGCCCTGCCCTCAGGGCTCTCACACCACATGAGGACTCCGGGAAAGTGGGCAGGGCAGGAGCAGGGAGACACTGGCTCAGCAGAGAGGGTGCGGAGGGGCCGTGAATACCCCAGGAAGGGCAAGGGTGCAGACTCTGAACGTCTCGGGGAGGTCAGTGTCGGGCGTGACATGAGTGGAGGCGCGCGGAGCAGAAGGGGGAGGGCAGAACCAGAGCCGGGCTCAGGGACCGGCTGACCAGAAGGCCTTCGGGTTTTCTTCCAAGCATGCGGGAACCATGTAGGGGAAGGGGAGGCAGCAGGGAGTCCAGTAAACCACAGGTGTCTCCAAGTGGAAGGGGGCAGACGGCCCCACCTCTGTTCTCTGAGCAAGGGGAGCCGTGGGCACCCACTGTGTGCAGGGCTTGGACCTGCTGTGGGGAGACAGGAAGGTTGGACTGCAGCCCCGTCCTGAAGCCCTTGCTGCTGCTTGGAGAGCTCACGGGTCAGGGGGCCTCGGTTTTTATGTTAGGTCATTTACAGCCGCGCACATGCGTGCACACACACACGCACATGGACTCCGGGCGGGCTTTGGGGCCAGGTAGACTTGGACTTAAACACAAGCTGGTGAGCTAACCAGTAGGGGTCCTGCAGGAAGTGAATTCACCTTCGGAGCCTTCCTTTCCTCCTCCGAGACCGTGATGTGCCTGACAGCAGGCCGCGGGTCGGGTCGCTGTGCTGGGCCCAGTCACTGCGGTGTCACACCTGGGGGCGGGGCTGCATCGCCATCATCACCATCCTTTGCTTTCTTCCCAGAAATTTCCTCTTTAGCCAAGCGGAAAGCCCAAACAACCACAACCGAAAAGGTGCATTTGCATTTCAAAACTTGTCTCTGTTTCAAGCCAGCATGCCTTTTCCTCTCCAAACAGCCTGGCGTCTGGAGGGGCAGTTGCAGGTGACGCTTTTCAATGGGAAGCCACCTGTCCACCCTTTGTGCTGTCCTCGGAGAAATCTGTTGTCCCAGGAAGTCTTCTCTTGGATGGCGGTCTGGCTGCTACGCGGAGCGGGCTTCTCGTCCGATCACAGTGCTTCCAGGGCTCGGCGCGGGGTGGACAGCTTGTCCTGAGCAGGCGATGGTGGGGTGTCCTGCTGGCGGCCCCTTCCACTTGCAGTGCCAGGAAGGTCCGCACAGCCTGTTTGTGAGCGCGTTCCTGGGTGTGTGCGTGTTTGCACAACTGCATGTTCACGAGCGTGGTTCTGACAGACTCCGCCAAGGATTTGCTCAGCTATTGCCTCCCGCTTTGAGATGCTGCATGGCCGTGTGTCACAGGTGGAGAGCAATTGCCACCTTCCTGAGCTGCCTTCCGAGGGCGTAGGACATTTAGTTGCCCCTGAGAGGCCTGTAAGTACCACCGGGAAGGAGGTCCAGACGCCCCGTGAGTCATCTGCAGGGCGTGGGCGCCCTGGCTGGACCTTTCAGAAGCAGATGCTATAGGCTTGGAATTCAAGTGCTAGCCGTCGGTGGCCATGCGACTGGACGACTCACCCCTTAAGCCCTAGCTTCCTCCTCTGCGAAGCAAACGCCTAACACATACCAAGTGCTCAACACCAGGCGGTGATGGACGAGACCGGGCTCTCAGCTGTGCCGTGGACTAGCTGGCTGGCCTGTCCTGTTTCTCACCTGAGGCACTGCTGTGTAGAATGAGGGGCTCGGGGGGCCCATCTCGCTCTGACCTGTGACACCTGGGGTTTCTCCAGAGGTCTTGCTACCCCCCGTCCTTGCTTGTCCCTCTGTTAGACCATCTCTGCTAGAAGACGCTGGCTCACCTCTCCTACCCCCTTACACGTGTCAGCTCCTTCCCGAGGACGTGTCCACATGCCTCCTCAGCATCACAGCAGCAGGGGTTCCAGCACCGGAGGGAAGGCGTGAAGGTGGAAGCTGAGCAGGGGTCCAGGACATCCACTGAGGTGACACCACTTCCCTGCCTGCACTGCTTCGTGTTACGTGTCAACACGGCTGGGCCACAGTGCCAAATATTGGGTCGAATGTCCTAGTAATTTCTGTGAGTGTTTAGATGAAAGTTACGTTTAGTCAGTGGGCTCTGTCAGGCATATCGTCCTTCAGGATGTGGGTGAGCCTCATCCAATCCAGTGAGGGCCTGCATGGGAGGAGAAGCTGACCACCCCTGAGCAACAGGGGCTTTTGCCGTACGTGGCCTCCGGATGCGTCCGCATCCATCCTCCCGGGCTGTCTAGATGTCCTTGGGACTGGAATTGCAGTTCTTACCCAAGTCTCCACCTCACTGGCCTCTCCCACCAGAGCCTGGACTGTCTGAGCCGCTACAGCAGCAGGGACCAAGTCTGTAGGCTCTCTAAATAAATAAATAAATAAATCATTCAAAAAGTTCATGGAAAGTGCATGGCTTTCGATATTTTTGGTGCTAAGATACACTTGTATTTTAATCCCATTTCCCCACAAACTTTCTGAAGTCCCCTTACATGTTCCTGTCTATAAGCGTGCGCTCACGTGCGTGCACACACACGCACACACCCTGTTGGTTTGTCTCTCTGAGAACCCTGACTGACACTGCTCTACCAGCTGTTCACAGGTGTTCTCTCTGGTTCTGGTTTCTCTTCTCATAGAACCTTCTTCCTGACAGCTGAGTGCCTCAGGGGAAGAGCAACCTGGTAAGCTCCCTCACACTGGGACGTTAGAGACGCAGGCGCCTCCTCCCACGCAGGCTTTGCCTGTAGATAGGGAACAGTGTCCGTGTTACACAGGGTCTCCAAGACAGCCACTTGGGCATCAGGGGGCTGCCACCCCACTGCTCCAGAAAGCTAGACGCAGTAGTAGGCGAAGTGCTAGGCAGGGCCAGCCTGCCAAGAGAGGGCAGGAAGCCTTACTTCCTAGTTCAGCCTGCCGTGTGACTGCGAAGGCAGGGTGTGGACTTTAGCAGCTGATGGTTCAAGCTGAAATCCTTTGTTTTTGGGCACATCTCTTCATTTCTCTGTGCCTCAGTTTCCAAGTCTGGAGATTAGAGTTTTAAGACAGCATAAGATGATTATGAAAGCCAAGTGAATTAGCACGCGCAGTTGTCTTAGCACATGGTCAGAAGTAAACCTATGTTGGGAACCAGCAGTTAGCGTAATGGCTATGTTGCTGGACTCCCACGTAGTCAACTGCGGTTCGCGTCCCGGACCCGGTGGCTTAAACCTCACGCCGGGCGCGTGTGTGTGCGTGCCCAAGATCCCGAGAGGAGAATGGAGGAGAAGGGATTGCGGCGTGACTATCCCCCCTGGGGGGTGATTTCTCGCTTTCTGTCTCTATGTCTCTCTCTGTCTGGCGAGTGCACGCACCCTATAGCGAAAAAAAAAAAAAAAAAAAAAGCAAAAACAAAAACAAACCTCTCCAGAAGTAAACCTATGTGAGTTTCTTTAGTCTCTTAGAAGACAGATTGGTTTGGAGCAGGCGGGCAGTGAGGGTGAAACCTGTGGGTCCAGATGCAGGAACCATGGTACAAGCTCAAGGTATGTGTGGGGAGCTGGGGAGCCAGGGCCTAGTGGTGTAATTCAGTCTGAGGCCAGCTGCCTGTGAATCTGGACTTGTGATGTCAAAGGCCGGGGAGGGTAGCTGTCCCAGCTCTAGAAGACAGAGCAAATTTGCCTTACTTTTGCCTCTGTGTTCTGTCAGGGCCTCAGCAGAGTGGATGGTACTCACTTACACCAGGTGAGGGGGTTCTTTCTTACTCAGCCCATGGACTTGAAGGCCAAGTGCTCACAGACATACCCAGCAATAATGGCTCACCAGCTATCTGGGTATCCCTTAATCCAGTCAAGATGGCACATAACATTAACCATCGCCACAGACATACCCAGCAATAAGGTTCACTAGCCATCTGCGTATCCCTTAACCCAGTCAAGATGGCACATAAAATTAACCATTGTGAACTCGTTCTTGTCCTCTCTTTCTCAACCGAATGGTTGTGTTGACTGAAACCTATCAAAATCGAGATTTTTCTTTTTCTTTTTTTTGGAGAGGTTTTCGCTATAGGGCGCGTGCGCTCGCCAGACAGACAGAGAGAGACATAGAGACAGAAAGCGAGAAATCACCCCCCAGGGGGGATGGTCACGCCGCAATCCCTTCTCCTCCATTCTCCTCTCGGGATCTTGGGCACGCACGCACACGCGCCCGGCGTGAGTTTTAAGCCACCGGGTCCGAGACGCGAACCGCGGTCGACTACGTGGGAGTCCAGCGACATAGCCATTACGCTAACTGCTGGTTCCCAAAATCGAGATTTTTCTTGAACTTCACGAATTAGAAAGATAAGAAGGGGAAGTGGAGTCATGGACCAAGGACTTGCGCCAAACACCGGGCAGACTAGCTGGCCTCACAGATGGACACGCTCCTTCAATGCCTCCCCTAATAGGCAGGGACCTGGGCGGAGAGAGCCGCCCTGCCTGTGGGCTAGCGTGGACCCCTCAGCACCACCCTGGCCCGGAGCTGCAGCCTGTAGGGTGACAGGGCAGCAGGGAGCTGCTGTGTTAAGCGAGCACAGAAGCGTGTGCCCGTGAGTTCTCCGCGGGGTCCGCTGGCCAAACACTGCAGGAAGTTCCCGGCGCCATAACCTCGAGAGGCGCCAAACGGGCGCTGAGCACCCCTCCCCCGTTTTGGGATGACAGTTCCGTAAGTGACATTTTGTTCCAAAGTCCTGTCCATCCATCAATCCTTGTCCACCCTTCTGTCGCCTTCCCCAGTCAGCAGCGCCCCTTCCCAGCCCACCTGGCACCAGATGTTCCGCCAGCCACCACTGTGTGTCCGCGTCCTCCGAGTGGCAGAATGCGAAATCTCGGGCGACGTTCACCTGGAAGCGCTTAGCCCTCAACAGCTGCAGCCCCTTGATTACCCTGCCTGCCTCGGCAGCTCCGCGCGCGCCTATCAATCGCTTGTCAATTCGGTTTAGCGATGACTTTGACTGACTGGGATGAGGGGAGTGGAAGTGGGGTGTAGGCGAATGGTTAAAATTAATTGCTACATAAGAAAAAATTGAAAGATAATTATTCCTGCTTCCCTGTCAGTGCTCGAGGGTAGATGACCTCATTAACTTGCAGCTTGTACACAATTCAATTACTGGGAGATGGAAATACATTTTTAATTACCTCAGCGGCCTGCGGACCATTCATCTCCATTTGCACGGCTTCTTCCTCCTCTTCTTCTTTTTTTTCTTTTTAACTGTGGTGCTCTGAAGGAGCGGCCCCATCTTAAGAAGGCTGCCATCAACGCCCGCCGCCGGCCTGGCACTCCTGAAGGTGGCATGGTATCGGGCGCGGTAACCCCCAGGTGCCAGGTGAGCTGCAGGGCAGCCCGGTCTGGCCGTGTGTTTTTAAGTAGCTCGCTACGTGAGAATGCACCCAGCTCGGGGGCGACGATGAAGGGGTAAGATCACGCTCTTGGTCCCCAGTTCCTGAAAGGACAAGGCAGAACGTGGAGGCAGGGACGCAGGAGGGCCAGTGCGTTGCCCACCTGGATGTGGGGGTTCTGGCCCGCGCTGGTGGCTGTCCTCTCCCTGTTCGGTGATGACTTAATTAGCTGACCGTGTCTCTTGGCTTTTCCCCTTCATTGCAGGGACAACTTAGAAAGCGGTCTGTGCTGCAAACAGCTCTGCAGCAATTCCTCTGTGTGGGAGGCTGTGATTGCTCTCAGCCGCAGCTCCTTTCTGAGAGACGCGTCGCCCTCTGCATCTCCATGTCCCATCCCCAAGTGCCCTGGCCCTGGGTTCCCTGGGGCAGTTAGAGGGAAACGAAGCTAATTAGGGAGTGAGGAGGTCTGAGCACTGTTAGTTGAATTTCCCAGCTTGACTGAGGAGTGACTAACAAATGTCATGTGCTCAGGCCGAGCTGCGTCAGTGTGCACTGGGAGGTGGTGACCGCGACCGAGTGAAGGCAGCCAGGGGACTTGGTTTTCGCAGCGGTCACCTCTTCACGTCTGGCAACTTCCTGGATGGCGGTTTCCGCCCTGCTCCCAGGCCGTGTGGGAGACCTGTGGACACGCATGCATTTGCCGTCACCCTTGCCAAGTGTCCCTCAGGAAAGAGCCGTGTGGCCCTGACGGCCAAGGACTTGGAGTCACACGGGCTGGGGCGTGAGGCCTGCCCCTCTGCTTCCTGGTCACGAGGGGAGGGAGCCTTTGTTTCTTTGTCTGTGACAGAAAAATAACGTACCTCCCACACCGCTGAAGAACTGAGATAATTCAAGTGTGCTTGGGTAGAGCCTGGGTGTATTGGTGGATGATGCCGAATAACGGCGGCTCGCTCTCTCTCTCTCGGTTCTGCTGTAGAGCACATGCACGCCCGGAAGAGACAGAGAGGGAGTGTGAGAAGTCACCCCCAGGGAGGATGGCCATACCGCAGTCCCTTCTCGCTCCTCCCGGGATCTGGGGCTTGCACACGCACGACCGGCGTGACTGCCAGCCTGCTGGGCGTGACACACAAACTCCCACTGGCGATACGGGAGTCCAGCCTCCTTAACCTCCATGCCGCTGACTGGCCTGGCAGCTCGCTTTTATACGTTTATTTATTTTACATAGAGAAAGGGGCACCCTTGACGGTCTCGTCGCGTTATTTCACACATCTGGTTAAGCTTATCTGTGTCTACACTCAAATTTACCACCCACATCAGTCCCATTGCTGCTCAGAGCTGTTCTTACCTCCCCTACTGAAAGCAGCCCAGTGAGAGGTCAGGACTGGACTTTAAAACATTTAACCAGGGGGCACGGGTGCTGCTGAGAGACGAGAAAGCGCCCTGTGGGCATGACCACGCCCCGATCCTCCCCTTCCCTCCTCCTCACTCGGGGACTTTGGGCCCTCATGTCATGTTTCTCAGGCCAGCAGGCCGAGGATTTGAACCGTGCAGCTGGCCATGTAGGATCTGGCTGCCTCGGCACTAGGCCACAGCGCTGGCCCAGGGCCACGTCAAGGTCTGGCCTGCTCTCTCATGCCCTGGCTAGCACAAGAGACCTCGCACGCCGAAGTGGGCGGCTCTCATTTCTTTAGTGGAACTGCTCGGTGGCCGGAGGCGTGGCCCAGGCGTGCTCTGGGGCTGTGTTTTCGATTTATTTCACCCAGGGGACCTATCGTCCCATGGACCCTCACCTGGGTTGCACTTGGGACAACAGACGGGCATGGCGCACTGGCTGACACGGGGCAGGGCCAGAGCCCTCCACGGCGTCTGGGTCTGCTCTCCACCCCATCCAAGCACCTCGGTCCACAGCTCGCGCACTGGCAAGGGCAGCTCCGCGCCAAGCCCGGTCCCAGGCACCCAGGTCGTAGCCCTCACCCAG